TCTCATCTAATTTTAACTCTCCTGATGGATGGGCTTTGTTCTCTGCAGCAGCTGCCCCGCAAGGTATGAAAACACTCAGATATGTTGACATGGGAAAACAAAACACACAAATCAGCCCATTTTCCTCTTCAAGGCTGATTTATCTGGAGCTGTCAGTGGAGGGAGGGGAAGTGATGAGCCCCGGGGAGATGAGGGAGCAGCCTGGACTTGCAGCTCGGTGGTTAACAGTGCAGTTGGACTGATGCTCATCGAGCATCTGGTCCATTCTCTTCCAAGCCCCAAAACATCTCAGATCTACAGAGAACAAAGTGATATTTTCTGCTGCAATTCCCCAAGGCGTGATTCTGTGCATGTCCCGGCTTATCCTTATAAATGAGGGGAGCTAGATGCCAGAGGAGCCCCCCTAAAGTGGTTCAACACAAGCTGAGCTCCATCCTGGTGCTCCCGTCAGTTGTGCTGACTACTTGGTTTTCTGAGTTGGGATGGGTGGATCAGACCCTGGAGAATGGTGACAGCAGCTCAGGGGGAGGAGGATGGTAAATCCAGGGTAGGTGCAGCACTTCTATAATGGGGGAGGGAAGGAAGGGAAGGGAAAGGGAAAGGGAAAGGGAAAGGGAAAGGGAAAGGGAAAGGGAAAGGGAAAGGGAAAGGGAAAGGGAAAGGGAAAGGGAAAGGGAAAGGGAAAGGGAAAGGGAAAGGGAAAGGGAAAGGGAAAGGGAAAGGGAAAGGGAAAGGGAAAGGGAAAGGGAAAGGGAAAGATTTCCTCAAATGGGAGTGGCAGCACTTGTCTGGATTTCCAGCTTTGTGGGAGTCTATATCCCGTGTCCAGTTTCCCATCTTTGATCTGGAAAATCCCATCAGCTCAGCCTGATGAGGCTCCTCCTGTTTGCACTGGCTCTGCTCTACCCAGGTGTGTCTTGTTAGCACAGCTCTCTCCTGCATCATGATCCCTCTCCCAGCTCCTGTTCCACATCCCCCTGTTTTTAAGCTTGGCCTGCAGATCCCATAATGGATTTGCACCTCCAAGGGTTTCACTGTCTGGAAAGGAAGCGGAGGGGAAGGGAGCTGGTGGGCTTGACAACAGCCATTGCCCCCACATTCCTTCCTTTGTCCCAGGAAGGGTTGCATACACTACCAAGAGTAAAGCCATGCAAATAATTCCCTCTCTTGGCAGGGTGCAGGTGAAACATTCCAGAAGCTTTCAAGGCAGCATCTAATTTTTACTTCTAGGGCAGTGGATTTGTTGAGAGTTTTATTCATTTACTGTCGCAACAATTTTGGCTCCTCTTGAACATCCAGGGATGTGATGTTCCATCAACAGAGCCCTATAAAATGGTTTTGTGAATGTGAGTAGGAAAGCAGGAAATGAGATAGAGAGAATGGTGCCCGCACACATAGTGTGTGCCAGTCTGTAGGAACCGTCCAGTACCAGTTCATGTGAGGTTTAGGAAGGGTCATGGACAACACTGGGACCAGGATGCGCCACCTGTGGTGGCATTTCAGCCCCAGGATCAATTGCAGATGCTGAGCTCCAGGTCTGTGCAGTACTTTCTCTAGAAATGAAACTCTGCACAAATAAAATCCTGCTTCTGCAGCATTGGGAGGCAAGAGAGCAGCACAGGGACTGCAAGGGAAGCAGGAGAGCCCACGGTGTGACATGGAGGGCTGCTCATCTTGCCAAAAACCACCCTCGCCCCAACTGAAAGCCAATGCACCTGGTTGTCCCAGGACTGGTTCTTCAGATTTGGGGCAGAAATCCATTAAAATTGAAACATTTCCGTCCCTGGAAGTGTCCAAGGCTGGGTTGGATGGAGTTTGGAGCAACCTGGTGTAGTGGAAGGGGTCCCTGCCAGTGGCATGGAGTGAAATTAGATGGGCTTTCAGGTCCCTTCCCACCCAAATCATTCCATGATTCTATGAAGATAGGCACTATGAAGGGGGAATAAAAAAATGGAATTTCCCCTCTCTGCATCACAGCTCTGAAATGTACAGACAGGACTCATGCTGGCTGCCAAACTGGAAATTATATAAAAATACCTAAGCAGTTTTTATATATTTATATTTTAGATATTTTTCTATTTCTATCATAGTTCTATATCTGGCAGAATTGCCCTGGCCCCCATCTCAGCAGAGGACACAGCTGTCCCTGTGTCATCAGAGATCCAGTGCAACACTCTCCCTAACAATATCATGGCAACGTGAGAGGCACTTAGAGAGTCTCAGTGTCCTTCTGAATTCCCAAAAATCTTCATGGAAAACTCATCCCCCCTGTTTCCTCCTCCATTTACCTCCAAAGATTGCCATGGATTTGGACTGGAGTCTGGCCAGGGCATATTCATGGCACCTGCATGTTATTTTTATGTCCATTTTGATTAAAACGAATAAATTCCAGAGGAGAGGGTCTTCTCAACATGAAATACACTTTGTCAAGTTTGCATTCCCTGAGTAAATCAAAACACTGCCAACAGTTGCTAAGATCCAGGACGGATCTTAGCTCACCAGGCAAGTGACAAGAATTCTGCTCCTCAACAGCCTCAGCATTGCTCTCACCACCTCAATTTGATATATGATTTATTTTTCAGGGTGTGGGAGAAAAAATAAGAGCTAAGGCATTGCCACACAGAGCTTCTCTTAGAAGGAATCTCCGCAGGAGAGCAGAACTCAAACCAAGATCACAGAATCACAGAATGGTTCAGGCTGGAAGGGACCATAAAGCCCACCCAGTCCCACCCCCTGCCATGGGCAGGGACACCTTCCACTAGACCAGCTTGCTCCAAGCCCCGTCCCACCTGGTCTTGGACACTTCCAGAGATGGGGCAGCCACAGCTGCTCTGGGCACCTTGTGCCAGGGCCTCCCCACCCTCCTGGGGCAGATAAAGTGGCATCAATCAAACCCGTGATGCAGAAACCAGTGCTGGGGGTCAGGACCTGCCAGACCCACCAGGCTGCATGCACTGCATTATGGTGATGCTCTCCTTTCCAACATGTCTCCGTTTCCCCAGTTTTGGGAACTCCATCCACAGCAGCAGGAGCAGCAATAGCTGAGAGCAGGCAGGTGAACACCAAAGCCCTTTAAGGGCTTTCCATTTGTTTTATGTGTCCACTGAGTTTATTTTTAACATTCCAGCTGAAATAAATTTCTAAAGAAATGCTGGAGCTGAGCCGAGAGGACGTGTTTGCTGGAACCTGCCAGGATGATTAATCCTTTGCAGATAACCCATCAGAAAAGGGTCAGTATGGGAGCTCTGGCCATGCTGGGAGCCAAGCGAAGGGATGAGTTCTCTTCCAGAGAGCTCCTCAGCCACACTAAAAGCTATTTTACACTCCCCAGCCTGATGTTTCCTTCCCACTGGGAGAGATCAGCAACCAGCCTGCATCAGAGCTGGGCACAGCAGATACTCAGCACTTCACTCTGGGTCTGGGAGGCTGTTTTCACCCAGGAAGGTGTTTAAATCCTGTATTCTGGACCACACACAAGTGCAGAACATCCCCCTCTGTCCTGCCTGGGCTTGTAAAATCACTACAGGAATGGGAACACCCTCCAGGTAAGAAGGCTGATGCATCCAAACCGCAGGACCCATGATATACATGTTAAATCTATCCCTGTGCTCCCAATTCCTGCCTTTACCCATCCCACCAGCCCTGTGGGACAAAGCCAGGACCATGGCCACCTCACACCATGAGGACAGAAACCCACAGCACATTGTCCCTGCCTCCCTGCTCAGCAGCCCTGGAGCTGGTTACCGTCTGAACCATGGGATGAATGAAAAGCCATTAATTCCCTCCCGGGCATTTTTATGAGGCTCTTGATAAAATGTCTGGATGCTTCAGCACTGCAGGAGTTTGATGCTGGCAGAGCTCTGCACCAACTGAAAACCCCATCTCCAGGGTTGAACAGGTTGCTGGCCTCTCCTCTGTGTCCTGTGTCCTCTGCTCAGTCCCTCTGGAGCCAAATGTGCCCAAAATTGCAGCAAATCATCCTCTCTGCCTGAGCCAGTGCTGTCCCAGGGCACAGGACAATGAATGAATCCATCCCAAAAGCAAATAGATGAGTACACCCCAAATGTGTGTGCCCACAGCCTCCACCTCCAGTGGGGCTCCAGGAAAGATAAGGCTCCTGCCTCTTAGCTTTGCAGACCCTGAAGGGGGGAGCCCTGTCAGAGGAACATAGTCCTGCCCCAAGGTTGGAAAGGATCCTTGGAAAGGGGAGGGTGACCCTTAACATCCCACAAAGCCCAGTTCTGCTAAGCAGGTGCTTCTGCTGGGTCTGTAATTGCATCTTTACTCTGTGGCATCTCCCTAAATCCCTTAGCCTGCAGCAGCACTCCTCCTAAGCCCCCCAGAAACCCTCTTTAGTGCCCCCAGCATCCCTACTTATTCCCTTCCAAGCATTCCTCCTAAATCCCCCCCAACATTGGTCCCCAAATCCCTCCTCAGCATTCCTGCATCATTCTCCCTCCAGCACCCTTCCAGCTCCTTTCCTCACCCCACAATATCCCTCTTGAATCTCCCTGTAACATCCTCCCAGACCTTCTCAACGCCCTCAAACCCATCCCTCTAACCTCATAACGCATGGTGGGGAGAGTGAAGGAGAGAAAGAAAAAGCAGAGGGCAAGGGGGAACTGGAGACCCCCCCCGGCTTTGCTTTGTGGACAAGGGGGCTGTTTGTCCCCCTGCTTTCATACAGACAAAGAAAACCCGAAAGAGTCATAGCGCCGGGAACCATCGTGCTCCCCCTCCAGCCCGGGGACCCTCGCCGGCTCCGGGGATGGGTGACAGGCAGGGACTGGGAGGAGCTGGGGGGAGAGACAGGGATTAAGAAGGCAAGCGGGGAGGGGAGGTGGAGGCAGGCATGGGAGAGAGGGGGTGCAGGTAAAGAACTGGGTGGTGGGAAAAGAGGCAGGGATTGGGAAGAGCGAGGGTCAGGCAGCGGCTGAGAAGACAAGAACCGGGAGGGGAGGCTGGCAGGGATGGGAAGAGAGAGCGACAGGCTTGGGGGCGGGGGGGCGCCGTGGAGGGGGGGCGCAAGGAGGGATCTGTAGGGGGGAAAGATAGGCAGAAATGGAAGCATGGGGCGAGTCAGGCAGGGATGGGGAGAGGCAGACAGGGTGCGGGGAAAACGGGACCGTGGAGAGAAGACAAGGACCTGAGAACGGAGAAAGGCAGACAGCGACCGAGGCGGAGGAGGGCGGAGATGGGGGGTACAGGTAGGGAGCAAGGAGAATAGCAGACAGGGATCTGGGGGCAGGGGAGGAGCGGGAGGGGTGCAGACAGGCAGAGGGGCGGGCGGGAGAGCAGGGCCGCCCCCGGCCCCACGTGGCTCGGGGGACACGCGGGTTTATAAAGCATTCCCGGCCCGCGCGGGTGCGGGAGGCGGCGGTGGCGGCACCGGCCGGGAGCGGGGCTCGAACCCGCGGCGCTCGGATGCGCCCGGCGGTTCCAGCGGGGCCACGGCCGCCGGCGGGCCATGGAGCTGCCTTTGGCTGTGACCATGGATGTGCCCGTGGAACTGCCCTCGGTGCTGCCCGCGGCCACTGCCACCCCCTGGGGCAACGGCACCACCTGGGCACCCCTGCCTGGACACGGGGTCAACGACACGGGCCCGCAGCGGGCCAAGAACGCAACATCCATCCTGATCGCCATCGTCATCACTGCGCTCTACTCCGTGGTGTGCGTGGTGGGGCTGCTGGGCAACGTCCTGGTCATGTACGGCATCGTCAGGTGAGAGCTGCGCACCCCGGACGCTGCCCACGGGGGCTGGGCGTGCGCAGGGAGCCAGGGGCACTTCGGGTGAGTGTGAGAGCACCGACGGGGCCAGGTGGTGCCAGGGGTCAGTGTGCAGCACATGGAAGGTGTGAGACGGTAACACTGAGTGGGTGTGCACGAGGGGTGAATGTGCACCCGGGTTGAGACGGAACCAGGAGGGAATTCGCACTGAGTGGGTGTGCACAGGGGTGAGTGTGTGCCGTGTGTCAACAGCAGCAGAAGTAGGTGTGCACCGGTCGTGAGTGCGCAGCAGGCACGAGTCTGCACTGGGTGTGAGTTTGCCCCAGGTGTGAGTGTGCACCGAGTGTGCGCCAGCAGCAGGGGGAGGGTTCGGTGTGCACCTGTGTAGTGTAGGCAGCCTGGAGATGGGCGTGCTGTGTGTGTGAGCAGTACGTGTGCGAGCTGTGCAAGTGCGGGGGGAGCAGGTGGTGTGCGAGGGGTGAAAGCAGAGGCCATGCGTGCCTGGAGCAGCTCGGGGAGTGCACGGGGGCTGTGTTGGGGGAAGGGGCATGGGGGACACAGCCCAGCCCCAAGCGGGTGCCCCTTGTTCTTTGTGAGGAAGAGAAGCTGCAGGGCTGGTCACGCTGCAGGCTGGGAGCCGTCGTGTTTGCAGGGTGGGTCCAGACCCCCCTGCCCCCCAGACAGGGGCTGGTGGGTTCCCACTGCTGCCACCCCACTCAATCAGTAGGAATTACCCACCCAGCCCATTCCCAGTTCCTTCTTGTTCACCTCCTGCAGCTGCCTGACTTCTCTTTTTCTCTAACAAAGAGGAGAAACCGCATGGCCCAGCCCCATCTCCCACAACAGCTGAGCTGTCCTCTGGTCCCCTCAGTGTGTACCATCTCCAGCACCAAGAGACCTTTGGCTCCATCCAAGACCTCAGCACCTGTGGTGAGGCTTTTCCTGGGCAGAGACTGGGTCTTGCAGGGTCTCTGCACCCCAGGACAAGCAACATGACCCAAATGCTCCCCATTTTAAAGATGGGGCATGGCAAGATGCTGCTGCATCCAACCAGGCACTTGTGCTAAGATACAAAATCTTGTCAGTCCCTTTGTCTGAGACACTGGTTGGTCCTGCCTGGATAAGATGGGTTGACGTGGAAAATGGGACCATAAAGCAAAGTTTTGTAGTGCACAGGACCAACAGCAGCAGTGAGGGGTGACAGAACTCCTCCACAGCCCTGCCAGCAGCAAAGGATGGGGCTGTGCTTGCAGTCGCATTCTGTGCGGACGCAGACCCCAATGCAGCCTGGCAGGAGGGAGCAGAGGGGTCTCACTGGGTGCCTGGGTTTTGCAGCCACACCCTCTGCACTGGAGTGGGCTTGGTCCTGTAGGTCCAGAATTTGTGGGGTAATTCCAATTCCCATTGCCTCAGGTGGTGCTGTAACCCTAGCTTGGCCAAAACCCTAATGCCAAACCAGAGCTGGTGGCGGGATTTAAACAAACCCCCCAAATTCCCGATTTTTAACCCTCAATACCCCATCCCTTTTGGTATTGTTAACAGGAGGTCAGCACAGCCTGGCACTGCCTGTGCACAAATAAATGTGGTGACTCACCAGTGGGAAGGAAACTATCCTGAAATGTGTCAATGGACACCCTGGAGTGCCCATTGCCCTGGTATCAGGCTCTGCTGCCCCTGCCCCCCACTCTCTGTGGGACTCTGCTGTGTCTTTTTAACCATCCAAGAGGGTCGACAATGGGGAATGGAATCGAGGAGTAACTCACTGACCCAACCTAACCCCTAATGGGATTTTTCATCCACTCAAAGTGGCATTAAAAATGAGCCCTGGTCTGAAAAAGCAAATTGAGGTAATTGCAGCAGAGACAGATACCATGAGCGACGGCAGGGCGAGGGATGAGTGTTATTAGACCCCCTCCAGCTGGTTCTGCTCAGAGAGAAGAGAGAAGGCATTTTAAAGAGAGTGATTTCATGTGCAAACAACATCCTCCCTATTTTACTCACTGAGTAACTGCATGTTAGTCAGGCTTTAGCAAACTTGACAGCCACAGATCCCATCACCACAGCTTCTAGGCCCCCATTTTCCAGCTGACGATGGAATTAAACACAGAATCAGAGAATCACAGAGTGGTTTGTGTTGGAAGTGACATTACAGACCATCTTGTTCCAACCTATGGCAGGGTTGCCTTCCACTAGACCAAGTGGCTCCAAGCCCTGTCCAAGGTGGCCTTGAACACTTCCAGGGATGGGGAATATCTCCCATGAAATGAGCAAATATCCTCCAAGCTGCTGGGATGGGAGGGGCTGCAGGGACATGTGACTTAGCCCCTTCCATGGCCAAAGCCACCTGGAGTTTCCCAGGGGTCCTTGCCAGAGTTGCTCCATGTCAGCAGGGTTTAGGCCAGGACTAGGGGAGACCTGTGTCTGTGCAAGAAAGGGCTAGGAGATGGGATCAGCTCGGATTTGAACCTCGCTGCCAGGGAGATTCTGGGTGTTTGTCTTGTGCTCTTCTCCTTGTGCCACCTTTCAGTGCCCTTGGGGTCCAGGAGAGTGTCCAGGCAGTCTGGAAGCACAGCTGGAGCACATCCTGGCCTGTATATACCTCTGTGAATGGACACGCTGTGAGCTGAGCACAGCCAAACTCCAAATAAATCTATCTCCAGAGCAGCCAAACCCATCCAACACACCTGGAGGGAGCCCAGCACACCCAGCACCCTCTCCACCACAGCTCTGACCAGCACTACCATGCCCCCTGCATTGTCAGATGCTTTTAAAAATACTCCTGGAAGCAATTTGCAGTTGTGAGCTCGGGGCTGCAAGTGCCCTCATCCCCACTGAGCCCATCAGCCCCCCACCAGCTCCCACACAGGCTGCAGGGACAGCTGGGTGCAGGCTTTGTCAAGCCAGGCTCTTTCAGGAGGCAGCTTTTAGCAGCTCCAGGAGTTTTTCTTTCACTTATTATTCACTTTTCTTTCACTTATTTATTTTCCAAGAGGTTTGGAGAGGGCATCCCTGCTTGGGAGTTGAGACTGGAGTGCAGAGCTGCCCTGTGCTTGCCCCATCCCCTCCCATCTCTTCTCTCCATCAACACCTCCCAGATTGTTCTGTTCAAGTGCATAACTTCCCAATCAAGGCACTCACTTAATTGCAATGGGTTTGGCAGCCTGGGGAGCTCCATCAGCAGCAGTGGATGGTTTGCTCTAATTTGTGTAATAAACCTTTCCTGGAGCAGCAGTTTCATTTGCAGCTCAGGAGGCTCACCAGGATGGACGCCTCACCCCGTGCAGGGGGTTGAAATCTCAGCCTAGATATGGAGGGAGCTAAATCTTGCCCCAAAACCCCACTGCTGGAGGCTAAATTGCCATTCTTATTATCCCAGTCATCCCTATCACCATCCCAAGTCTTTCCTCTCATCCCAGTCAACCCCATCATTCCAGTTATGACCTTCATCATCCAGGTTATCTCCATCCTCATCCCAGTTATCCCTGTCATTCCAGTCCAATGCATTGTCAGAGTCAACCCATCATCCCAGACATTCCCATCATCATCCCAGTCATCTCCATTATCCCACTGGTCCCTGTCACTGCTTTGCCCTCACCAGCCCCATCCTGCCTGGGGATGGGTGAGAGCTCTGGCCCTCCAGTCCCCCACCCCTGGCACATCTGGCAGGGGGTTGGGAAGTGCTTACCCAGCACAGCCAAGCACATCTGGGAGACCATGGAATGAATATCAGGGTTTTTTTTTACTGTTTTACTCAAAATACAGAGACCAAAGACTTGTGAATCTGCCTGAACTGACTGTTCACATAGGAGAGGCAAAACCTGACAATATCACAAATTCTCAGCTTTTTGTTTAACCTGGGAGGAAACTTTTCTGCAAAAGCACTTGGAAAATAACACTAAAGAGAATGGAAAAGGACTTTTCAAGGACAAGACATTTTTAATGCCATATTTAAATTTTAAAAAAAGCTCAGCTTGAGTATTTCCACCCCTGGGCAATGGGCTGCCATTTGCAGCCATGGTGAAGGAGACAGGAATGCTCTTGGAGCTGGGTTAAGCTGCTGTTTTCTATTTTTTCCCAGAAAAAAATTAGTTTTTCAGCTCCAGCTGCCAGTTCAATTGACAATGGAACCTGGTGGGTCTCTGTCCGCACCAATACACTCTCCTGACCCTGCTGAGATGGAGGAAGGGGAAGGGATTTGGTACCACCATCAATCCCAGGAGCCTCTTTCCCACACCAACCTGCTGTCCTGGGCTCCAGCCAGGGCAGGACCACCTGAGATGGGAGCCAGTTAATCCCCCCACCTCAGTTTATTCCATGTGCCCCCAGCATGTGATGAGCTGTGCCAATTATCACAAAATCCTAGAATGCTTTAGATTGGAAGTAACTATAAATCTCATCTCATTCTACTTCCTGCCATGGGACACCTTCCACTATCCCAGGTTGCTCAAAGCCCCATCCAACCTGGCCTGGAACACTTCCAGGGATGGGGCAGCCACAGATTCTCTGAGCAACCTGTGCCAGGGCCTCCCCACCTTCATATCTGAACCAAACCTATCCCGTCAGTTTAAAACGATCTTGCCCCTATCACTCATGTAAAAAGTTGCTTTTTATCAATAAGTACTCCAAGGAAAACAATCTTTTCATCCCAGCAATGAAGATGTCATCTTACCCCCTCCATGCCTTATTCCAGTGCTGGTACAGGCAGGTTTACCCATGCACAGAGATGGTTTTGTGTGAACTGACCCTGATGTTAATTAATTAGGGTACATCTAAAAAAGCTTGGGGCTGAGGAGGATGCTCTGAGCAATGGAGATTTGCTGGAAGGGAGCCCGGGAAGCAAGGAGCAGTCTTCCACAGAGCCACTCCCACCCCACGTGTGTTGCCCTTTGGGGGTGGCCAGCAGATCCCTCAGTATGTATTTCCAAGCCACCATGCCATTCAAAGCATCCCCTTGACCAACACTTGCAGGACTGGATGCTCCTGGGACAGACACACACACACACACACATCCCTGCTGCTCTGGCATCTGCCATGGCTTTGCTTCATCCCTTCATGAAAGGTTTGGACATGAGGGACCAGGCATTTCTCTTGCCACGGTGTGACAAGAACCAGAAGCAGAGTCAGCCCTTCCCAACTGCCCCGGGGGATACAGCCAGGCTTCCCCAAAGGCTCTGGAGCTCCAGGCTGGCTAATTGGGCTGCTTCCAGATGGCCGGTTTCCGGGGGTAATCGATCCAATTTCTGCAAGCAAACTTGACAGGGAGACAGGCTGGATAATCACAATTTACTATCTGGAAAATCAGATAAAGGAGGGTTGAGGATATTTTGCAACTGGTTCAGGGTAATGGAGCAAATCAATCTCATCGGAGGATTGAGTTCTCTGGAAAGTTCTTTATTCCTTCAAATAAAAGCAGGCATGGAATGTCACTTCCCTGGTCAGGTGCAGGAAAACCATTGTGGCAGGGGCCAAGCCATGCTCTGCAGGTCCCAGCTCAGCACATGTGAATGTCATCCTCTGCTCAGGTACCAGGATGTGGTGTGTGGCTGAGGAGTCAAATGAGATGAGCTTTAAGGTCCCTCCCAACCCAAACCATTTTTTGATTCTATGATTCTATGACTTCAACACACAAGTATAGAATCATAGAATGGCTTGGGTTAAAAGGGACCTTAAAGTTCCTCCAGTTGCACCCCCTGCCATGGGCAGGGACACCTTCCACTAGACCAGATTGCTCCAAGCCCGGTCCAACCTGGCCTTGGACGCTTCCATGGCAGTCACAGCTTCTCTGGGCAACCTGTGCCAGATTCTCATGACCCTCCCAGGGAAGGATTCCTTCCCAATATCCCATCAAATATCCTGTCACTCCAGGTCCTTGTAAAGAGTTGCTCCCCATATTTCTTGTGGGCTCCTTCAGGGACTGGAATTAGTCACCTTAAAGCTTCTGTTCCCCAGAGCAATCCCAATTGTCTCAGCCTTTCCTCACAGCAGAGGTGTTTCATCCCTCTAATCGTCTTGGTGGCCTCCCCTGGACTCGCTCCAACAGCTCCATGTGCTTCCTCAGTGTGCTCCCTGGTGCACCTGGAAAGCTGTTGAGCACATTGGTGCTGCAGAAAGGTTCATCACAACACTCTTGCCCACCAAGGCTGGTGTCACCTTGTGAGCAGACAAGCTGTGCCCCTTCCTCATCGCATCAAGTGCCCTGACCACCTGTAGCATGTCCTTTCTCTGCCACCCCCAGGTATACCAAGATGAAGACAGCCACCAACATCTACATCTTCAACCTGGCGCTGGCTGATGCACTGGCCACCAGCACACTGCCCTTCCAGAGCGCCAAGTACCTCATGGAGACTTGGCCCTTTGGGGAGCTGCTCTGCAAGGTTGTGCTCTCCATTGACTACTATAACATGTTCACCAGCATCTTCACCCTCACCATGATGAGTGTGGACCGCTACATTGCTGTGTGCCACCCAGTCAAGGCCCTGGACTTCCGCACGCCAGCCAAAGCCAAGATCATCAATGTCTGCATCTGGGTGCTCTCCTCCCTTATCGGGGTGCCCATCATGGTCATGGCGGTCACCAAGTCAAAAGGCAAGTGTCTCTGGGGACACGTCCCTTCCTGTTCCATTAGTCCATCCCAGGGGTGACCTGGCAAACTTGAGCTCTGGTCCTGTAGCAGATGTGTGCTCAGTGGTGGGCACCTCTCCATGACACCATAAATGTGCCCTGTCTTGGAAAAAGCATCATGGTGTTATTTCCCATCTTGGAAACTCCCAGAAATTGTACTCCGTTCCACTTAAGGGGAGGGATCCCACACCTTTCCCCATTGTTAGTCTAACCAGTTCCTCTCCCCACCTCCTAGGATGCAAATCAAGTGCCTAAAAAAGCCCCCAGGAATGCTGCAAGGTCTCTAAGTGGCCCACACTAAGATCTGCAGCTCCTGTGTGGGGATGCTGGCCCTTGACTGCTAGGAAAGCTGTGGGCATCTCGAGGAAATGGACAGATTTCAGTGGAGGGTGACATGGGTATCTGAGATGGGGATGTCCACCATGGGGTTGGGAGAAGGCAGGATTGGCCTTGAATGGCCCAGGCAGTTCTGCAGAGAAAAGGTTCCGGGGTCACTGCATCCCCTCAATGTCTTGTGGACAGGGGTCTGATGGCACAGAGCTCCTGGGGAACCTCTGGCAAGAGCAGGCAAGCAGGAATGCATCTCCCTGGGGGTTTAACAAGCCATAACTGAGCAGAAGGCAGAATATTCTCAGCAGACACTCTACCAGATTCCTCTTTGACCCTCCTTTCTCCTTCAGATGGTATGGTCCTGTGCACTCTCCAGTTTCCTGACCCTCCCATCTACTGGGACACTGTGACCAAGATCTGTGTCTTCATCTTTGCCTTCCTGGTCCCCATTTTGGTCATCACCATCTGCTATGGGCTGATGATCCTTCGCCTGAAGAGTGTCCGGCTCCTCTCAGGCTCTAAGGAGAAGGATCGCAACTTGCGGCGCATCACACGCATGGTGCTGGTGGTGGTGGCAGCCTTCATCATCTGCTGGACACCCATCCACATCTTTGTCATCGTCTGGACGCTGGTGGACATAGACAAGAAGAACCCCTACGTGGTGGCCAGCCTGCACTTCTGCATCGCTCTGGGCTACACCAACAGCAGCCTCAACCCTGTCCTTTATGCTTTCCTGGATGAAAACTTCAAGAGGTGCTTCCGAGAGTTCTGCTTGCCTTTCCGAGCCCGTGTGGACCAGAACAGCTTCTCCCGTGCCAGGAACACCACGAGGGAGCTCGTCTCCACCTGCACCCCCTCTGAAGCCCGCAACAAGCCAGTATGACTAGACGTGGGCAGCCCAGAGCAGGGCTGCCAGGGACACGGAGATGAGCTGCGCTCAGAAGTCACCCAGGTCACCACCACAGAGTTGTAGCAGTGATGGCCTGGGTGCTGCTCAGTAACACTGCTGGGTTTGCATACAGGCTGACTGCAAAAGCTTTTTTCATCCTGGGAAAGAAAAATGGGAGAATTGGGACTCACCAAATGATGTAGGGAGATGACCATATCAAGAGGTGAGTGAGCTCCACTGCTGCCACCATCTCAATCAATAACACCCAGCAGGGGCTGTCACCCTCCAACACGTGGCTTTTGGCAGAGCCCAGGGCACCAGAACTGCAATGTCCACGTGCTTCTCCTCCTGCATGGGGCAGGATGACACCACGGCCGACAGCAAGAGGGGAAACACTCACGTGGCAGAAGGTAACTGTGCCAGGAGGTGATCATAGGATCACAGAACCATTCAGGTTGGAAAAGCTCTCCAAGATCATCAAGTTCAACTATTCTTCCACCACTAGCCCATGTCTCCAAGTGCCACATCCACACGGTGATGGTTAAATCTCTCCAGTGATGGTTACTCCACCACTGCCCTGGGCAGCTGTGCCAGGACTGGACAACCCTTTCAGTGAAGAAATGTTCCCTAATATCCAGCCTAATCCTCCCCTCCCCTGTAATGACTTGAGGCCATTTCCTCTGCCACATCATGGGACCTCATTCCATCCCCCTCTGAGCTGTGTCCAAAAGACAATTGGAGATGGGAAGAGAAACTCATGCCACTTCAGAGACACTGTTTCGAAAAAGCTCCAGACCCATTGTAAAAATTCTCCTGGAGTCCCTCAAACTGGGATTGTTCCCAGGGAAAACTTTCTACTGTTAATGTCATTACTGTGTTGTTTAGAGACCTCTGACTGCAGCTAAGGCTGCCCTGGAGCTGGATGTGATGCTAGGAATATGGATGTGTGTGGCCAGGGGATGGAGCAGGCAGGTCTGAAGCTGACCCCCATATCCTTGTGCCAATATCAAATTCTCAGGGTGACAGGGAACTGATGAAGTCATTAAGCCCAAGAAGAACCTTGTTAAGGGAGTAATTTGTGGGAACTTGAGTTGCTTCTCACAGTGCTAAAGTAATTAGGATGGAATAACAGGCTGCACCAAAGGCTCTCCCTCCCCTGCCCATCAGGAGGATGAAAAACAGCACAGCCCAGATTTTCATAGCAGAGACAAAAACAATAGAATGGGGTTGTGGGTTTTTTTACTTAGAAAATCTCAAAAAGAACACCTCCCTTTCATAATTCCCCAAGCAGGGACAGAGGTTGTGCAGGCACCTAGAAAGGACCCACAGCCCACAGGAGGCAGAGATTTGAGGATTTCAGCTCTCATCTGTATGGAACAGCATCCCTCCAAAGGGATAGCTGAACTGCAACTCCCAGTGCATCCTGCAAGAACCACCATCCAGGGACCTCCTGACCACATTATCTGCAGCTGAATGATAATTAATGGGTTCTCCTGCTCCCTGAAGCACCCCTCCAGCCCCGCGCCACATTCATGAGCCACCACTTTTCCTTCCTCTCACCTTCCCATTGTCATTGCCAGGTGGTCAGCCAGCCCAAGGAGGAGGATGATCAGAGGAAGTAGTAATAGCACTGAGAGAACAGATACACCTGGAGGAAGCAGGCGGGCACCCAGATGCACCTGGGGCTCATGCGCTGGATGCAGAGCTTGGCTTGTGTCTCAAGTTGTATCAGTTTAGACTAATAAAAGTCATCACCTCTCCTCACCAGCCCCACCTTTCTCCAGAACTGTGGAAATTGAAGCCCTCTCCGTTAGAAAGACAGAGCCCACGAGGTAGTCAAAACCAATTTCTCTTTCAAAGGAATCAAATAGGGTGACATTGCCCATTGGGGTCTCAAATCAATTGTGCCGATGCATGCTAATGGTCCTCCCCATCTGCCTGCCCCGTGTCAATGTGCCACAGGCAAAGCCTCCTGCTCAGTGCTGTATCCACCTGGACGTCTCCAGCTCATGTCCAGGCCTCTTCAGAATCCCTTTGCAGGCATGAATGGAGTCCTGGACTACCAGCATGGCCACACTTCGGGCTTCTCACCCCCTGCTACCACAAGCCCATCTGCTTATGGAGCATCAGATAAGGGAAAGCACGATCAGTTCCAGGGCAGGAACTGGGGGGAAATGCCAAGGGTCACATAAAGCTGAGCTTCAGACTCTGTGAGAAGAAAGACTAATGTATCCAGGAGTTGGAGACCATCCTTCAGCTCTCCACCTCTACCCACCCTGGGGCAGAACCCTCAGCAGCATGTGGTGGGTTTGGAGCTGGTTGATGGTGAGGGCCCAGCCATGGAGGGATTTCAGCGTGTCCCATCAGGCTGGATGTTCCTGCAGGGGTGGGATGTCCCATGCTGTGGAGCAGGACATTTTGGACTTCACTCTAAGCTCCAACATGAAGCTGAATTCCAGCTTGATATCTCAAATTGTGGGGCACTCTTAAAATATGTGATGTCCCCATACCATTGATATCTTCAAGCTGTCTTAGCAACCTGAAAAGCTGAAAAGCAACCCCATGTTGGAAGCTGGGAATGGCACAACAGAGAGCAGTGTTTCCCACAACAGCACAGGGACAAATGGGGGACACGGGGGAAGTGAACCCCAGCAGCAGGGATGGAGCATCCTTGCCCCGGCACAGCCTCATTGAGGACATGTCACTGTGGTGTGGGGACCAAGAACCCCCCACCCATGAGTGCTGGGAGCTGCAGGTTGACTTGGGGCTTCACGAGCAGCTCGGCCACCCTGCAAAGCTCAGCCCCCACTTTTCCCAGCCCCACAGGGCCTTTTTTTCATCTGCCAAATTCCTAGCATGCTGGAAAATGTGACTGCCATGGCCTTAAAGTGGGTTAAATGCTTCAAGTCATTTCCTTGTAAAATGCCACCATGCTTGGGCAGAGCTCGGAGCCCAGGACACAGCAAAGACAGTGGCTTTCCTGAGCTTCAGGTTTGCTGACTTAAAGAAAAACAGAGTATTCGTGGGAAAAATGGGTGGCAAGCAGCACACCAGAGCATATGGGGTGACATGGACTTCGATCATCCCATTCCAGCAGCATCCCAGCAGGGATGATTCAGCTTCTTCACACCTAAAAACCAGCTCCTCCAGCCCCTCCTCTGGGCTGGGAAACTGGGGACAAATCCTAGTTCAGGGAAACAGCACTGAGAGATCCTGCCTGCCCAGACTGAGCCATGCTGTAGCCAGGATGCTTGGAGGGAACTCTTTGTGTACTTTTATAAATATATATGTCTGTCTATAGCTATATATATATGTATGTCTGTCTATAGCTGTATGAAATTAAAGTGACCCCAAGGCCTCCCGTCACACCTCCCACTACAGCAGCTTCTCCATGTGCGATAGAGCTGAATATCCATAGCATCTCACAAAGTACTTCTCCACTATTTTCAGCTCCAACCCTTGGGATTTTTGCCTTACAGTGGCATTTTTGTACAGAAACCCTGCTTTATAAAAATTAAAATAATAAAGTGAAATAAAATCAGCGATAGGAAGCAATTTCCAGCTTTCTTGTGACTCCCAGGCATCAAAAATGAGCAGAATCTGGCTCAGGGGAGTGGTCTGGGGGGTGATGAAACTACCTCTCAGTTTACTCTTTCCTCTGAGGGATGGGGAGGCCCTGGCACAGGATACCCAGAGAGGCTGTGGCTGCCCCTGGATCCCTGGAAGTGTCCAAGGATTCACTGAGTGGGGCTTGGAGCACCCTGGGACAGTGGAAGGTGTGCTTGCCCAAGGCAGGGCATGAAACTGGATGAGCTTGAAGGTCCCTTCCAACCCAAGCCATTCCATGATTCTAAATTCAAATTCCAAAAACTCACCTCAGCCCTTTAGCTGAGATTGTTTGCAAGCCCAAGTCACCAAAAACCTCTTCTGCCACTGGTCATCAAGATATATTTTACAAGCCCTAGCAGCTCAAATTCTGGCCCAAATTACATTTTTAATTTAAATACAAATGAGGATTTAGCAAAAAAGCAACAGAATTGGGTGTTGGAGCCTGTAACTTTGCTCTGGCTTAATGAGACTTTGGATTTTAAGGTATATATCACTTCTGCTGTGTAGGTTTCTTAGCTCCCAAAGAAGGGGAAGCCATAAAGAACACAGACCGGAGGAGAAAACCAGATTTCCAGCCTGGAGGTGTTGTTTAGTCAGGGTATCACTGCTGCAGCACCACTCGAGGACCCCCTCCATTACCCAGCACTCCGGGAAAACCGAGCCAGGCACCGATTCCGGTGATTTCACCACCAGTCCAGATTAATTATGCAGCAACCTGTGCTGGCACACACCAACCAGCTATTCCAGGAATGTTTGCAGCCCAAAAACATGTGTTACTGCAGTCAACATCCTCTCCCCCGTTTTTTGGGGTTTTTTTCTTTAATTAACCCACCAAATAATGAATCCTGATGTATTGAGTTTGTGGTGATGCTGGTTTCTTTGTCTGCAGGTTTAGGCTGATGTTGGTACTGCATTAATATACAGATGGAAATTAATGGATCTCTTTCCTGGGGAGGACAGGAGCAAAATCTCCCACCTTCCTGACCCCAGAGCAGCCTGGGGTGGACCCAGGCTCTCCAGCCCAACAGAGATGCTTGTCTTGCAATTCATCATTTAACAGGGAAAAAAAATTACTAGGAATAATACCCAGAGGATTTTTTTCTCCTTTCAGACTTACAGATTTTGCTTAATTTTTACAGTTTTATTCCCTGAGCAAATGGGACCTGGAGGAACATGCAGGAAGGGGATGGAGGCTGGCTGGGATCCTGTGTGAGCACTGGGGCTCCTCCAGGCAGGGACAGAGCCAGGATCCCCTTCCACAGCTCATTATTGTGTGAACCATATGAGACTTTCCTTATTTTTGGCCTGTTGTAATGGGAAAGGAACCAGGACTTCAGCAGTTTGGGGAGGGGGCAGAGACACCCCCACACCAGTATTTCAGCCCAGTTCTCAAGAGACCCAAGACACTCTTCTACCAG